GTGAGCCACCACACCCAGCCTGAGTCTGGTGGTGAAATTTTTAGTGATACCAGTGTAGTTTCCCCTCTCCCTTTTCCCCTGCAGTGTTACATATCTGCACAGGTATACGCCTGAAGAACATAGAAGGTTGAGTTTATCTAGGGTTGGGATTTTGCTAGGCATGTTTTAAAGAGGGAGAGAACAGACTTGCTTACTGCCTGGTCGTCATCATTCTCTCTGAGTGATAGTTTCCTCATCTATAAGATGAAGGTTATAATTCCCGAATCAGAAGTTTGCATGTAAGTATTAAAGTAAGTAAAATAAAATACAAAAAGTACTTTATGTATAAATAAGTTGAAATATAGTTGAAAGTATAAAGTTGAAATATAACAGGCACTTAATAATGGTAATTGTTAGTGTAAATGTAAGTATATTTTACTCAAGCCTATTAGGAATAGTATCTATAGTTTCTATGTCTTTCCTTGTGGAGTAATCAATCTTTTGACCCTGTAAAGAAAACACAAGTATGATGGACAGCTAGTGGAAACAGGAAATGTCAGGAGCCCATTGGAAGCCGCTTACTTCTACCTGCATCTTTCTTTACAGTACCCACTGCACTAGATCCATACGAGCTGGTATTGGTGGCTTTAGAGCTAGGTTATCTTTGTTCTTGGTGCTGGCTTGTGGGGAAGGCGCATAATGGTGGTGAAGCAGTTGGGATTTGCTAATCGCTCTGCAGCAGGGAAGATGTGTGCTGGAATTTTACGTTGGAAGTCCAAATGCATTGGACTCCTACTCCTCTTCAGAGAAACATTTTTAGGCATGACAGTTGGATATAGTGATACATGTTTTGCTTCAGCTGTAGTCAGGATTAAATCAGCTTGTGGATTAGCCTGAGAACCTGATCACTTGGTATAAAATTGTTCCGTGAACCAAGACTTTTTGAGGTTCAAAAGTGATTTTAAAATGAAATCCTGTTAAACTATTTATAAATCAGAGAATACTTTTTTTGGAATCTTAAAATAGTTTAATGGGCAGCACGAAACGTAATTTTTGTCAAAATGGCATAATTTTTTAAGATGAAAATTCTAAGGCTTCATTTAGCCCTAACTTTCTCATTTTGCTGGTAAGAAAACAGTGTTAAATAATTATTTAGGGTCACACAGCTAGTTAATATAATGTAACTAAAACTAGACCCTAAGGCAGGTGATTCCAAATTCAGTGCTTTTTAAAATTATACCAGGCTAATTTCCCGTAATTGTCTTTTAAATACATTAATATGTTATCTTTAACATTAAAATAAGAGCATTTATATAATGCGGTGGGGGGGCAGAGGGAAGTTGGAGGAGATCATAGCTGTAACAAGATTGGTTGTGAGTTGACGGTGGTGGCCAGGTACATATATATGTTCATTTTTACCATTTCCTGTACTTTTATATGCTTGAACTTGTCCATGATAAAAGAAATTAAGTAGCATTTAATTTTAAAGTGACTTTTTTTCCAGGAGGCCATAACAGATGGCTTGGAAATTGTGGTTTCACCTCGCAGTCTACACAGTGAATTAATGTGCCCAATTTGTTTGGATATGTTGAAAAATACCATGACTACAAAGGAGTGTTTACATCGTTTTTGTGCAGACTGCATCATCACAGCCCTTAGAAGTGGGTATGTTGAAAAGAGTTATACTAGGTACTTAAATTGTATCATGACAGTGCTCTCCAGGGTTTGGGAAATATATTATTCTCTATAAATATTTAGTTTTGAGAACTAGAAATTTTTCTGAAGTCTAGGTTTTAATTATTGGAGAATCTTTGTTTTGAAACAGTTGGTTTTATGCAATTTTAGAAGCTTTATAGGATGAGTATTTGTTTTGAGGAAATTATAATACAAAGCATGAAACCATGGTTTTTCTGCTGAAGTATATAAAAGAATATCTTCTTAAAGTGTTATTTCAGTAAAAGAACTGATAACATATAAATTAATATATATAAGTGGTAATTTTTCCTTGTATGGTGGCATGGATATTAGAAAGGGGAAATTTAAATTAGTAAAGAGTAGATTTTTATTTCCAAAATGGTTATATATAAATTATCATTGAGAAATACTCAAATTTTTCTCTTTTTGCAAATGGTATATAGAGTGTCTTGAGGTTTCCAAAATCTTGCTTACCCGTAGTCAGAGTTTCACAGAAATTCAGATTAATCAGTTTAAGTTTCTGTGACTTGGTGAAAGTATTGGCTTAAAGATGATAACTTTCCAGAAGCTGGATATTTTTGTCATTAGCCCAGAGATACTGACATTACTTACATTAGCTTTCCCCTCCTTTTTTTTTTTTTAGGAACAAAGAATGTCCTACGTGTCGGAAAAAACTGGTTTCCAAAAGATCACTAAGGCCAGACCCAAACTTTGATGCACTCATCAGCAAAATTTATCCAAGTCGTGACGAGTACGAAGCTCATCAAGAGAGAGTACTAGCCAGGATCAACAAGCACAATAATCAGCAAGCACTCAGTCACAGCATTGAGGAAGGACTGAAGATTCAGGCTATGAACAGGTATATGGGAAAGAGGGCCAGAGAGGGGAGCCATTTTCTGAATACGTTATTAAATATTGAACTTGCTTTTGGAAAAGTTAAAATATAGTAACAAATAGTTACGCATGCTTACCTTTTCATGTAGGTATAATATATGCCTCTGGGCATAATAGGGTATTGCATTTAAAATTCTGGAATCTCTTGTACTTACTTCTCCATCCACTTACCATTCTGTTTCTCCTCTTCTCTTCATGGCGTAACTCCTTGAAAGAGTTGCTATGTCTCTCTCCAGTTCTTTCCCCATTCTTTTTTGAACCTCCTCCAGTCAGACTTTCAGCCATACCACCCCATCGTATTGCCTTTATCAAAGTTATCAGTGACCTCCACATTACGCAGTCTAACTGCTCATTCTCAGACCTCATCTTAGCAGTATTTGACACACTTTCTCCTTCCTCTTCGAATAGTTTTCTTCATCTGGCTTTCAGGAGACCATATTCTCCTGGTTCCCTTTGTATGTCATTAGCTGTTTCTGCTTAGTTTCTTTTGCAGGTTTTATTTCAATTCCCCTAACCCTTAAAGGTGGAGTATGCCAGGGATCAGACTTTATTTCTCTTTTCAATACAGAGTCTGTCTCCAGATTATCTCATAAAGTTTCATAGTTTTAATTACCATCTATATGCTGATGACTCCCAAATTTATATATCCAGCCTTGATGTCTCTGAATTTTAGACTTACCTCCTCTTGGATGTCTAATAAGCATCTCAACTTAACGTGATCAGTACTGACCATGTAATTCTCATCCCCTGTTTCTCTTCATTCTTGCTCATTTTAGTTAATGGCAACTCCATTCCACTTGCTTAAATCGAAAACTTTGGAGTCACCCTTAAACCTCTTTTTCTCAGTCTGTGAATAAATATTTTTAGCTTTTTCCATAGTGTATCCAGACCATGATCCAGACCATGATCTTTCATTCGAAGTATTGAAATTGCCTCCCAATTGGTCTTTCTGCTTCCCATGCTACCCCCGTAGTCTGTTATTAGCACAGCAGCTAGAGATTCTGTTAACTTAGAAGTAAGATCAGAGCTTTTTACTCAAAACCCTCTAATAGCTTCTGTTCACATTCAGGTTAAAAACCGAAAGACTTTTATGATGGCTTCCAAGACCCTACGTAATCCGGGCACTTTCCTTACCCCTATCCTTTTTTCCTCTCTGACATTATCTTCTAATGTATTCAGACTCCGGGGAGAATTATCATTTTCCAAGTAGGAAAAGTAGTAAAGCCCCATCTCAATCCAGTGGTTTTCACTGTGGCTGAAGATCAGAATTACTTGGAAGGCATTTAACTCTCGGGGTTTAGGTATCACGGCAGACCGAGTAATTGGGGCCCAGGCTTTACTGTTTTTTGGGTTCCATAGGTGATTCTAAAGTGCAACTACAGTCAAAAACCACTGACTTAAAGGTTAAACGATGTGCTCCATTCTAAATATATTAATATTACTACACTAACCTATCACTCTGTCTTAAAGTATTAGATGTTGAATGTATTTATTTTTAAAGAATTATATATTCCTAAGGGTTGGTAAGTATTTAATGTTGTTAAGGAGGAAGAATCCCCTTTGCAAAATCCTTTACAAGTAGTCTTTTGTTTTGTTTGAACATAGAAACTAGAAAGCAGTGGGGCTGTGTGACAGGAGTGTCTTTCATGTGTTGGCAACTTTACTGCAGCTTCTTAATTGTTCTTTAGACTCACCAAGCATGCATCTGCCTCAGGGTGTTTGTGCTTACTGTTCTCTTCTTCCAGATAATCTTCATACCCCTCACTTTCTTATCAGATGTCTGCTAAGTTCCTATCTTCCACCCCAGGACTCCATACTTCCTTACCCTCCTTGCCTCATTTTTTCTCCACAGCACTTACCATTCTCTGACATGTGTTGCCTGCTGCAACTAGAATGTGAGCCCTAAGAGGGAAGAGGCTGTGTTGGTATCATTGACTCTTACACCACCAGTACTTAGAACCATGCTTGGCGTAAAGTAGCTGCTCAGTAAATATTTATGTGAATTTTTTTTGTAAGTTCTTCCTTTATATTGAATTAAAAGTAGTCTTGTGTGTAGCAGTCTGGGCCTGTCTTCCGTTAAAGTACTTACGTTAGATTCTACACATATTTCAGATTGTACTTCTAGTTTTCCAAATACTTTAATATAGATATATTTTCTTACATGCTTCTCTAAAGGCTAAACTTAACACATTTCTAATTTCTCACAACATTTAAGATTATTGGTGTCATTCTTAAAATACTACTGTCAAGACAGTATGTAGTATTATAGATGTGATTTGATAAATGTAGGATATATAATAATAGGCTATTAATCTCCTTTATCTGAACATTATTCTTTAAATGCTACCTGCAATTACATTAATCTAGCTCTGTCATTTCTATCTTTTTTTGGAAACAGGTGTAGGATAAAAGTACATACATTAATTCTTAGTGAACCTGTTAGATCTCTGTAATTTATGGTCAACTAAAACAACATTTGCTTTAATTATGGGTTTTAGAAAATGCTTAAGTGTAGTCCCTATACTGTCACTGTCGAGAGTTTGGGGGCGGGGGTGGCTGTGTGCATGCTCTCGCGTGCGCACGTGCGTGTGCGTGTGCGTGTGTGTGTGTGTGTGTGTGTGTTTTAAGAGATAGAGGTCTCGCTTTGTCACCCAAGCTGGAGTGCAGTGGCACTATCATAGCTCCCTGCAGCCTCAAACTCCTGGGCTCACGCAGTCCCCTGCCTTAGCCTCCCAGGTAGCTGACACTACAGGTTACGAGCCACTGTACCAGGTTAATTTTTTTTTTTTTTTAAGAAGACGGGGTCTCGCTGTTTCTCAGGCTGGTCTCAAACTCCTGGTTTCAAGCAGCCCTCCTGCCTTAGCCTCCTGGGTAGCTGAGATTACAGGCACGAGCCACTGCACCTGGCCCCAATTTTTTTGTTCCATTATTTTTTTGAATCATAGTTTGTCATTTAATATGTTAGACAATCCCCTCTTGGTTTTGAAATGATCTATAGATTTTATAAGTAGGATTTAATTTTTTTTTTTTAAAACAAGAAGTCTTAAGCAACTTCCTAACCTGTAAGGCTGCTTTCATTGTCCTGACAATAAACATAATAATGACACTGTTCTTGGAAGTACATGTTATCCTTTCATATTTCTTTTCCGTCATATATCCCTTCTTTTTTCTCGTATATAGAGGTAGAGAGACAGGTGATGTGGTAGAAAGAATGTAGTTTGGTATCACATCCTAAGGTCTAACTCTGGCACTGACTAGTTGTATAACCACCAGCAAATTATTTAATCCTGTACCTCAGTTTCTTCACTGTCTCATCTATAAAATGGTGGTAATGCTAACTGCCTTGGCAGGTTGTTTTGAAGAGTATATGAGATGATATATGCAAAGTGCCTTGCCCAGTAATTGGTTTTAGTATTTGAGCTTGTTAGAGAGCTGCTTCTGTGTCCATGCCGGTTATTTAGATACCATCCCGTTTTCCTCATTAGAATCATTTTGCATCGTATTAGCAATTACACTGTGAGGGAGGTCAGCAGGGTGGGTATATTACCATCCTTTCTAAATAGTGTTTCCTTAAGAATTTCTAATTAAAGAGACACAAATATCTTGCCTCAGAACTTTCACATTTCATATGTAAATCATGCCTTTCTTTAAACATAATTTCATAATGGACAAAATGATCAAAACATAAATAAGGATTTGCCAGTAATTCTTATAGTCTTTAGTTTAATAAAGAAACTTATTAAATGAAGAGATACACTTATTTAAATCATTTAAATGTTTGCCTGTGTGTGTGAGAGATTTTCTTTCAGGGACAAGTGGGAAGCAATGCCATTATCCAACTCTGAGCAAATTCAGTTACCAAGATTTTTTAGAATTCTAAAGTTCAGTAGTAAACACGCTTCAGATTTGATGCTTTACAGGACTAAAAGTAAACTTTATGCATTCTTTTTTTTTTTTTTCTCTAGATTACAGCGAGGCAAGAAACAACAGATTGAAAATGGTAGTGGAGCAGAAGATAATGGCGACAGTTCACACTGTAGTAATGCATCCACACACAGCAATCAGGAAGCAGGCCCCAGTAACAAACGGACCAAAACGTCTGATGATTCTGGGCTTGAGCTTGACAATAACAACGCAGCAGTGGCAATTGATCCAGTCATGGATGGTGCTAGTGAAATTGAATTAGTGTTCAGGCCTCATCCCACACTTATGGAAAAAGATGACAGTGCACAGACAAGGTAAGCATGTGGGTTAGTTTCAGATTATCTGAATTCAGAATGTTTAATTTGGAGTTAAAAGGCAATTTTGCAGAAGAAGTAGGAGTAGTATATTTCATTCCATTGATTGTTCGGGTTCAATGTGGATACATTGGCTGCCTAAATTGTTTTCTTTTTCATGTGCCTTCCACCTGAAATTGCATATGTGAAAGGAATGACCCTCTTAGGTAGGAGAGGGAAAAAGGCCATTCAGATTTTTAAACAATGATACTAGGGTGCCAACAGGCTCTAAAATTCATGCTGGCAAGGATGGCCGCTTTACTACTGTGTCTCTAGCATGCTGCCTGCCATTGAATGCAGATAATCATCAAATACTTATTGAATGAGTGATTGAATGGTATGCCATGCTTTAAAAATCCCAAGATTAACACTCGTCTGCTCAGTCTTAGAAACCAGATATATTAGACAGTAAGAAATTTGCTCATATTCTAACTATATTCCTCTTGCTGCTGCAGCCAGCAAATTCTGATCGTTGGGGTTTGAGGGATATGTTGTTCTTTTTCCCTCCTAAGTACTTTGTGTATTTCTGTTTAATTTTTTTTGTTGCTTTATAACATATTTTACAGAAGGTAAGGTAGGTAAAGGTTTTCATAGCCCAGCAGTCAGATAGTAAGCATGTAATTTTCTTCTGTCCCTTTCAATAAGAAATTTTTAGATGGTAAAGCAATAAATTTTCTGATGTTATTTTGTTAATAATTGGGACATTTACATTTTACTTAGCCTTTAAGAAATGTATTAGTTCCAGGCCAGTTGCAGCGTCTCGTGCCTGTAATCCTAGCACTCTGGGAGGCCTAGGTGGGAGGGTCGCTTGAGGTCAGGTGTTCAAGACTAGCCTGAGCAAGAGTGAGACCCTGTCTCTACCAAAAATAGAAAAAATTAGCCAGATGTGGTGGTGGGTGCCTGTAGTCCCAGCTACTCAGGAGGCTGAGGCAGGAGGATCACTTGAGCCCAGGAGTTCAAGATTACAACAAGCTATGATTGTGTGCTGCACTGCACTTCAGACAGAGTGAGACCCCGACTATTAAAAAAAAAAGAAAGAAAGAAAGAAGGAAATCTATTATTAGGTCCATAATTTAAGTAAAGTTTTCTCATTAGTATATTCTAGAAGTGAAATTTTTAATGATTTATTCTTCCAGATACATAAAGACTTCGGGTAACGCCACGGTGGATCACTTATCCAAGTATCTGGCTGTGAGGTTAGCTTTAGAAGAACTTCGAAGCAAAGGCGAATCAAACCAGATGAACCTTGATACAGCCAGTGAGAAGCAATATACCATCTATATAGCAACAGCCAGTGGCCAGTTCACTGTGAGTATTTTAAGATAATAGGCTTGAAACTTGGAACACATTGATCACCTGAGTGGCAAGTGGTGGGGTGGGATCTAGTAAGACAGTGTAGACCCTGGGACCCCGAGAGAGAGATTGCAACAGGGTAGTTAACTTTTTAATACCCTTCATTTATTCTGTTATGAACAATGTAAGAGGTAAGTAGTTATTCCTGAGATTTTTTTTAAAAGAGATTCTGTGGACTTCTGTTTTTGTTTCATCACGGTTTTCATAATTTTTTCTTTCTTTTTTGTTTTAGGTATTAAATGGCTCTTTTTCTTTGGAATTGGTCAGTGAGAAATACTGGAAAGTAAACAAACCCATGGAACTTTATTACGCACCCACAAAGGAGCACAAATGAGCTTTTAAAAACCAATTCTGAGACTGAACCTTTTTATAGCTTATTTCTTTAATATTAAAGATGTACTGTCGTTACTTTTATGGACAGATCTTGGATATGTTGTTCAGTTTTCTTTCTGAGCCAGACTCGTTTACACTATTCAAATCTTTTCCCCTTAATTTAAGATACCCTTTATGGAAGGGACTGCAATTATTCAGTACTTTTTGTTTCTTTAAAAAATATTATCTAAGTTGTGTGTTTTCACAAAGAGTGGTTCCAATTTGGAGCACCCTTCGGACCCAGGAATTTTTCATAGTTCTGTATTCTTAAGTAAAGATTCTGTTGGCCGTCCTTTTCCCTCTTCCCTCAGAAGTTTTCTAGGCCTACAGAATGTTAAATAATATGTATTCTGCCTTTTTTCTCCCTGGAGTCGTGTATATTTATAGTTTTCTATATAAGCTGTAGTATCTTCATGAAGACCAAGGCTCAAGTTTACTGTGCTTAAAACAATTCTCATAGGATTGTTCTTTTCATGGTATTTTCTTCTATAATGTCTCATTTTAAAAAAGAAGTTCTTTATGAACTTAGTGTCCATCGTCATGCAATGTTATTTTTTTTCCATTCTTTTTCCCTGCAATTTTGGAATTTTTGGTCTTGGAAAGAGAATCAAACAAAACCTTAGGTTCTGTGAGAACTTGATTCATTGACAGATATTCCTGAAAGAAAAATTAAATTGGTAGTAATATGTAGTCTTCAAATGTATATTTAAGAGTGCTTTTTGTTGTATTAATTCTGCTGTCACTTCAGTTCCTTTATTATGTATGTTTGATGTTTTTCCTATTAAAATACCAGAGATGAGATATTTTGCACTTTAGCCTTGATAAAAAGTACAAGATATGTTCAGAGCTTCCCTGATTCTTTTCTTATTGGTAGCCACATAAGTTTCAAGAATAACATGGCACATAGAACAATGGAGAAAAGTCTGCTTCCATTTGAAAGTGTGTTTAGCATTTTGGGTTGCCGTATCAGTTTATAAATTTGGTGCTCTGCTAATTACATTCTAGAAGCAGGTTAGTGGAGTTTGAGCCCTGCCTCGATAGGTAGTGAAAGATAATTCTGTAGAAGAATGCCAGCCAGTAGGGTGAAGTCATTGTACTCTTCCTAATTTTTATATTGAAGGACAGTGTTGGCTGTTTGGGAGCTAGAAGGCCTTATGCTGACAGGTCAGAAATATGATTGACTTGTGTGTTATTTTTTGTCCCTGTCCTGATTCTAGGTGTGTTTCCAAGTTTATATTATTGCAGTACTTAAAAATACATGTTTGCTTGAGAAATTAACCCCAAAGGGTTTTTAGATAGGAGGGAGTAGACCTCCAGCAAGTACCATTGCAACTAAAGTCTGTCTAGTCGTTGTAAATATTTATCTGTCAATTTTGACAGATTGGGGCCAGCTTGATGTTTTAAATCTTCAGCCCAATATGAAAACTTAAAAGCTTATTCGATTTTTTTACCATTTTATTGAAAATATTTAAAATCTGTTTTTACAGTTTTTTTGGTAATCTGTGCCATGAAATTTGAAAACCACCAAAATCAAGGGAACTTTTATATTCAATTCCTTTTCTGGTATAATGTTAAATTGTATAGATTAATGCATGCCCACTGAATATAACCCTGCTTTTGTGATAAAACTACTTAGATTTTGTTGGTGACATTAGATTAGTGGTTGCATTAAATAACTAAAGTCCCATTGTGATTATTAATTGAAATTTTGTCTTTAAGCAAAGAGTTATTTGTGAATATAAGCTTTGTGTTTAGAGAATGTATGTGTTTTTTCTGTCAGTATGGGAGGATATAAACTACATCATTAGTGAAGTCATTGGATGTGTAATCCTTTGCGAAATACAATTATAGGTATTTGATAGAGCATTGAGAGAGAGAGAGAGAGAGAGAGAGAGAGGGAGAGAGTGTGTGTGTATGTGTGTTTTGGAGCAGGGGGAGGGAGGATACTATTGACCATCACTGCCAACCAAGATTGGCAGTGGCAATAATATTTCATAAAATATTATTCAAATAATTTCTGTAATCACTTTCTCAACTGAGAAACAAAAGGTTGACCAAGTGTGAAAGCTTTTGGATGATACACTATCATTTCTAATGTTTTCATCATAACATACACATAACCAAATTTTCCATTTTTAAGTGTTGAATTCAGTGGCATTGGGTACATTCACAGCATTATATAATGATCACCACTATCTGCTTCCAAAACTTTTTCATTTTCTCAAAGGGAAACTCTATGCAATAAATAACAACTCCCAATTTACTCCTCTCCCTAGCCCTTGGTAACCTCTATTCTTTCTTTCTTTAAGTTTGACTATTTTTGGTGCCTCATATACATGGAACCATAAATTATTTTCAGGGTTCATCCATGTAATAGCTTGTATCAGAATTTCATTCATTTTTAAGGCTAAATAATACCATTGTATGTATATAGCGCATTTTATTTATCCATTCATCAGTTGATGGACACTTATTAATAGTTTTATGGACACTTTTTGCTATTGTAAATAATACTTTAATGAACATTGCTGTATAAGTATTTGAATCCCTACTTTCTAATTTTTTTCTGGATATACACAGTAATGGAATTGTTGGATCATATGATAATTCTGTGTTTTTAAAACTTTTTCTTGAGATAGGGTCTCACTCTGTCAGGCAGGCCAGAGTGCAGAGATGTTACCATTAGCTCACTGCAACCTGAAACTCCTCTGCTCTAGTGCTCCTCTTGTCTCAGCCTCCTGAGTAGCTGGGACTCCAGATGCATGCCACCATACCCAGCTAATTTTTATATTTTATTTTTTGTAGAGACAGGTATTCATTTTTGATTGGGTTGTTTTGTCGTTGAGTTGTAGGTATTCTTTATATATTCTGGATATTAATCCATTATTGGATACATGATTTGCAAATACTTTCTCCCATTCTGTGGGTTTTCTTTTCATTCTCTTGATAGTGTCCTTTGATATACAAAATATTTTAATTTTGATAAAATACAGTGTTTCTGTTATTTTCTCTTAGCTGTGCTTTTGGTGTCATATTCAAGAAGTCATTGCCAAATCCAAAGTCATGAAAATATTTCTGGTTTTCTTCTAAGTGTTTTATAGTTCTAGCTCTTTCCTAGGTGTTTGATCCATTTTTAGTTTTGTGTAATAATATGGTGAAAAGTCCGGGTCCAATTTTGTTTATTTGTGTGTGGATATCCAGTTTTCTCCTCAACCCTTTCTCTACTAAATGACCTTGGCACCCTTGTCCTAAAGAGTTGACAATATGTGAGTGTTTATTTCTGGGCCTTGTTTTCCATTGATCTATATGTCTGACCTTTTGCCAGTACCACAGTGTTTTGATTACTTTAGCTTTGTGATAAGTTTTGCATTATCATTTCTAATAGGTGGAACTTAATGAGGAAGACAGTATTATATTTTCTTTGCACATTTGAGGAGACAAAGGCTCAGAATTCTGATTTGGATAACTGAATATAAAATAAGTGAAATGCCAGATGAGAAAAAGCATCTCTTAAATTCCCGTTGCATTTCTACTTAGCAATGTTTGCTTTTCTTTGTATACCTTTTGCATGCTAATCTTAACATAATTTTAAGAAAGGAATATTAATTAGTATGCACTTTTTACTGTAAAAACTTCATTGAGTAGTCTTCTGGTTTAATAGAATAAGGACTTCTGAAAGTCTGTTATAAAAGCAACAAGAACAATGTAAAAGCCATCAAAATCAACTTTTTCAGGACTCTGAAATTAACCAAAAGCTTCCAACAATCAGAAGAACATGAATTCAGTTAAAACCATAACAATTTTGTAGTATTTTAACTTGCCCAATCCTCCTTTCCCTAGCTCCAGGATAATCTTGGAAAAGAATAGTTTCACAACTATGATAGCAGTGAAAACTAGCAATTTGCCACCCATTCGGGGCTGGAAGCTCCCCAAAAAGAATTTGGAGGTTCCCAAAGATCTAGCCTGAAACTCCCCCAAAATCTCAACTCCAGAGAACTGTCACTGTTTGACCTGTCTGGCACCTCATTGAAAAGCACTATTTTCAGAGGTTGTCTTTATTTTGACCTGGCTCAACTCGTGCAAAAGACTCTATCTCAAGGGTATTTGTGAAAAATAGTTCCCTGTGGTTATTTAATAGCAGTTGCCTGAGGCAGCTGGGGCTAAAAAGAGGCTGACCAAAAAGGAGGAAAAGATGAGGAATGAAATGTCTGTGGAGGACTTTGAAAAGCTCCAACATACTCCTGGGAATCTAGAAAGCCACATACGTGTGCAAGGCTTGTTGTGTGCCCAAGAAAAAATCTAAGAAGGCACTAATCTCACCTGTGGCAGCCCTTGAGGCTCCATGTAAGCAGGAAGTTAAGGCTAAGCACAGTTGTAAACTCCATGCTGGAGTATTGAAGGGATATCCCAGAGCAGACACAGAGCACTTAATTAACTGTCCAATTATTATCTGAACACTAAGCTAATGAAGCAGAGACTTCAGTGGTCACTTACAGCAAAGAATGCATGCTTTACAGAATTAATCCGGGGAAGTCACTGAACAAATAGCAAACACAACAGACTCTGGGGAGATGAAGGGATTCTGCTTTCCAGAGTTGCTACATTATATTACAGTCGTCTCTCCTCATCTGTGGTTTTGCTTTCCGTGGATCCTGAATAACCAAAGCGATCTACACCAAAAAGAACGAAGCTGGAGGCACCACTACCTGATTTCAAAATATACTACGAAGTTATAGTAATCAAAACATAAAAACAGACACATAGACCAATGGAATAAAATAGCCCAGAAATAAGCCCACACATTTATGGTCCATTGATTTTTGACAGAGATGCTAAGAACACACAATGGGACAAGGACTGTATCTTCAATAAGTGGTGCTGGAAAAAGTGGATATCCACATGCAGAAAATTGAAACTGACCCCAGTCTGTTACCATATACAAAAATCAACTCAAAATGGATTAAAGACTTAAACATAAGACCCAAAACTATAAAACTACTGAAAAGAAAACACAGGGAAAAAGCTTCTGTACATTGGTCTGGGCAATGATTTATTGGATGTGATCCCAAAAGCAGAGACAACAAAAGCGAAAATAGAGAAATTCAGTTGCATCAAACCAAAATGGTTTTGTACAGCAAAGAAAACAGTCAACAAAATGAAGAGACAGGCTACAAAATGGAAGGAGATATTGGTAATCTGTACATCTGATAAGGGGTTAATATCCAAAATATAAAAGGAACTCAACAGCAAGAAAACAAATAGCCCAATTAAAAAAATGGGCAAAGGACCTGAATAGACATTTCTCAAAAGAAGACAAACAAATGGCCATCAGGCATATGAAAAAGTGCTCAGTATCACTATCATCAGGGAAATGCAGATTAAAACGACAATGAGATACCACCTCGCACCTGTTAGAATGGCTATTATGAAAAAGAAAAAAGATAAATATTGGCAAGGGTGTGGAGAAGAGGGAATCCTTGTATACTGTTAGTGGGAATATAAATTAGTATAACCATTATAGAAAACGGTATGGAGGTTCCTCAAAAAGTTAACAATGAAAGTATCATATGGTCCAGCAATCCCACTCTTGGTGTACATCCAAAGGAAGTTAAATCGCTCTGTTGAAGAGATACCTGCTCTCCCACGTTCACTGCAGCATTATTCGCAGGAACGAAGACACGGAATTGACCTAAGTATC